TTTTTTCTTATAATATAAAATTAAATACTGCTACAATATAATCTTTATTTTCAAATATTATCAAAAAAATTTTTATTTAAATATATTAAAATTTAAAAAAAAGTAGATCATAACTATATTTATGATAATTTTTTAGACAAATTTGTCTGGAAAAGCCTACAGTTTAAGGGATAAAATCGTTACTTTATTATTATTATGCATAAATTATTATACATAATATTATTAGAATAATATTTAAATATCAAACAGGTTTGTAACAAGGAGAGTTTGTAATAAGTTTTAAAAATAGTCTAAAGAATAGATCATTAGTATACTAGTTCTTGTAAAAATATAAAAACAAATGTAAAAGACTTTGCAAAAGGCATCATCTACTGCCCCAAAGTTTCAACAATCTAATAAAAAGCCTCTTCATCTTGAATTTTCTTCAAATAAACCTATCTACTTGGTCATTCGTCTTACAAAAGTTTGTTTACATAAAATTTTACATAGTTAACCAATCATTTTTTAGCAATATCTCGATAACTACTAGGCCGATTTGGATGATCTAACTACTGTTAGATGTGTTTTGACAAGCTCTACAATTTTGACTTAATACAGAAGACTGATTAACTTAGTACAAAAAAGGTTTTTCTTGGGCGAATGCCACATTCAGGATATATGTAATTTATATAGGGAGAAGTCAATAAAAAAGAGACAAATTTTTTCTAAATAAAAGTTTTTTTAACTTTAAACTTAAATATCTTAACAACTATTTAATCAAATTTAATAATTTTTTTTTATTTTAATTCTATATAATTTTAAGATTAAAATAAAAAAATTTTTATTAAATTTGATTAGATGGTTGTTAAGATATTTTAATTTAAAATTAAAAAAATTTTACTAAAAATGATTTGTCCTTTTTCTATTGACTTCCTCCTTATAGTGATTTGCATCATATTATACTATAATCATATACTAGATGACTGGCAAATCACTAATTAACTAATAACCAATAAAGTATAAGCAAAACATGTCTATTTTTTTAAAAAAAATATATATATAATAGTTTTAATTAGATAGCAAACAATATATATCTGTATCCTTTAGTTATAAAATACAATTATAGTGATTTTGTATCTATTGTATGTTTTTATTATATTTTTAAATTTTGTAAGTCTTAATAAGTTTTGTTATAAAAATTTTAACAAAAATTTTTATGCTAGAGTATAGAATATTTTTATTTAAAATATTTAGTACTAATTAATTAGTCAGTTTTTTAAAATAATATATATATAGATACAAAATACTATAGATATATATTAGTAAAAGTTTAAAGATTTAGTCAATATTTTATTAGTAATTAATATTTTACAGTTAAAAATTTTAATAAAAAGTATCAAAAAAATCAAATTTATTAATTTAATTATTTTTTTACAAAATTATAAAAAAAAATATGAAAAAAATTGATGATCCTCCAGTGAACTGAAGAATTATCTTAGTATAACATAACACAGTTCTATATATAAATCTCTTAAGACAGAAATATAGCATTCGTGCAAGAAAAACTTTTTTCTTACTAAGTAAATTGCTTTTAGACTTTTAACAAAAATTGTAGAGCTCATCAAGACATATTTAATAGTAGTAAGAACATTAAAATTAGCTTGGTAGTCTTGAAAAATCTTTAAAAAATGTTTTGCCAACTATATAAAATCTTCTTTAAAAAATCGATTTTTTTAAAGAAATTTTATATGTAGACAAAATATTTTTTAAAGATTTCTTAAAAACTACCAAGCCAATTTTAATGTTCTTACCACCATTAGATATATCTTGATAAGCTCTACAACTTTTATTAGAAGCCCAAAAGATTTATTTAGTAAGAAAAAAAGGTTTTCTTTAAACAAACACCACATTTCTTTAAAAAATCTCTACATTTCTATCTATATGATTTATATATAGAACTATGTTGTATTATACTATAATAATTCTTCAGTTCACTGAAGAATCATCAATTAAGTTAATAGATATTCTAATATTCTAATCACTAATTGTTAAAATATTTAAATTAACTATATAAATATTATTATTTAAATTAAAAAATACTAAATGATATTTTTTTTGTTTATAAAAACTTAATATCTATATATTACTATATCATTTTTAAAAGTAAATTTTTAAAATTATTTAAGCCATTAAACTTATCATGAATTGCAGCAATATCAATATTAACAAGAAATTAGTATTATATTTTGTTAATATTATTGTTTTTTTTATTATAGTCAAGGCTAGCCTCTTTGGCTTTGTACTTTTATTAGATATACTAGAGATCACTGGTTGCTGCTAAAGGGGTATATAGTAAAGTAGTACAGTATGGTAATGCAAATTAGTATGGACGTTAAAAAAAAAATTAATTAAAAAATTATACTCAGACATACACATGTGTAATACAAAATCAATTACGTATACTATGTATTATCGATTGCATGATTCGTATACAGTATTTATCGATAAAATCAATTACGTGCTATATATATTATCGATTAAAGTTAGTAATGTATATGATTGATTGCATGATTCCTATATTTGTCAATAAAATCTCTTTTAATAGTTCAATTGAATTCTTTATTCGATTGTTGAAACTATCAATATCTATATTTGTCGATAAAACCTCTTTATAGTAAATCAACTTCTTTATTCGATTATTGCAATATTGAATATGGACGATATAGTGGATATATCCGACGTTGAAGAATTTCAATATGACCAAGTAGACCCTGCATTTGAACAAGTAAATATATAAATGTTTAAAACAGTAAATGTGATCTTGTTTTATAAATTTGAAATTATTATCAGGAATCAGAGGCAGAGTCGTTAGTAGAAGAATTGATTGACGATGAAGAGGAAATCCCAGAAACTGCATGTTTTACATCCCGGTTTCGTATAAAAGCTATAATCCATTCCAACATACCTGTAGAATATCCATCTACCTCACCAGAAGGTGTTGCAACAATATTTCATGTTGCAGACTGGGCTGATCCAAACCACGCATGGAAAAATGTAAATGTCTTCTTTTTTTTTTTTAAAAAAAAAATTTATTTTATATTTATATTATATTTAGATACAATATTCTATGGGCGGTGGTGGAATTCACTTAATCAAAAAGTCTCCATATTTTGGAAACGTTCAAGTAAATAAAGAAGAGCGTGATTGTTTGGGAATTAAAGTTTGTCAATTTACTGATCCTTCGCTTACAAGTATTGAACACAATGAGGTCGATATTGAATCATCATTGTGGAAAAGAATTACTAAAAATCAAAACGTCGATTTTAAAAAAACTCACACTTACATGTAGGTATTTTTTTTTATTTTAACAATAAATATATACTAAAATTATTCTTTCAAATTCAGTACATATTTGGCTGCTAAAGATGCTCCTTGTAAATTCAAATACAATAATGGAAGTGTATGTTCTGGAAGTCCAATTTTATGTAAATCACGTATTTCTCAGGATATACAAAATGTATATCAATAGTTTATTGGCTGTTCAATGTATCGTATTGGAGATCAATGGCATCGTTATACTAAAGTCGATAGTGAAAAAGTTGATATTGTACTTCTTCGTGATTTATTTCTTGGAAAAGAAGAGGTATTTTTAAATATAAATTGC